CTAATATCTCGAAGAAAAATATAATTTACTATTAAAATTTCAAATTAATTCATAATTTTGTAGCAGTTATATACCGTATGATGCTAGAAAATTAAGATCTACAAATGAACTACAAATGTCAGTGGAACTTCGACTTAAGTACCGCTCTTCCTCTTTCTTAACCGCGATTCTAAAAACACACTCTGGCAGGAAACTGTAAGCTGAGAGAGACAGGAAAGTAGCTTTAACTAAAGATAACTTTTAAAAACTTACGATAAACCTTACACTGTAATAAAAGGCTTTTCAGATGCAGAAGGGTTTGAAATATGAGAGATATTTATTGAGGAAATTATTCAGCACCTGAAAGGTTTGAGTGAAACTATAAATCGATACTTGCTAAAATGAAAAGCAGATTAAATATCAAAATGAATTGAGGATTAAAAACTCATTTATTGTCCTTCGACCATGTAGTCAGAAGAATACGAAACTTTTATTTAAAAATGATATACTTATGACTGCAAGGAAAAGTTAGATTAATACCGTTAGTGGAATTCTGGTGCAGTTTAAAAGCTGAATATCCGAACTTGTCCAAATGGCCATGATGGCACTTTTATCACTTGCAACTAAATGAAACGGGGTTCTCATCTGTATGTATCGACAAAAAGTAAATACCGCAGCAGACCTGATGCCGAAGTTGACATGAGAATTCAACTTTCATCTATAAAACCTAATATTAAGTATATCTGTGATAATAAAAAGCTGTACCACTCATTAAAATTGAATACGTTGTCTTGAGAACTTTTAGTTTAATTTTGAAATTACTTTTTTGAGAAGCAAATAAATATTATTTGAAATAATTTTAATTTTTGTTGAAAATAATCCTTTTACAGAATGTTGCTATAAAAACCGTACTTTTGAAGTAAACCAGGAGTTCCACAAAAAAATAAATAAATAAAAATCAGATAAAAAATTGAGCATTAAAAAGGGTTCCACTTCTGAAAAAGATTATGAAATACTGTAAGAAATACTAAGCTTTCATCTGCAACTTTTTAATTTTTATGGTTCTTTCTCCCCCCCCTTACCCCAAACGTACATCCTATTTTCGGCTTTTTCGTTGGCTTTTCTTGACAGATCTTTATATATATTTTCCAGCATGGAGATAGCACTTGTGACGTTCTTCCTTGAATTGTGTGCTTCTTTCAGTTAAAAGAAAAAAGAATTGGTATTTAGAATGCAGAACTGCAAACTACCTTTTTAAGGCCAAATTCCATAAACCTACTTTTTTTTTTATTTTGTTTAGCATCAGTGTATTCTTTCTTTCTTTCTTTCTTTTTTTTTTTTTTTTTTTTTTCACCTATTTCCTTACATTATTTCATACCAAGATAAGGCATATGAAAATTACATGCGATTTTGTTGATTATTTTTCCGAAAGAAATTATATATTCGTTAGTTATGTATGTAAATATACAATTTTAAAGTACTAATACAATTAATTTTTTAAAGTTGATTTGACTTCCTTCTGGCTATATCTATATGTATCGCATGGTTTTAATAAAATTTCAATCTGAAAACCCTGTTCTCGAACCATGATAAAACGTGTTCAGCTGTTAGCGTTTCACTGCAGCCTTTTCTCTTTGACACCTCAACGAAAGTGTATTGTTTTTAATTAACACATAAAATCCTATCCTGGCAAAATTAAAGGATAGAAGGGGGAACGGAAAGAACCTAGAAAAAAGGTCCTTGGCAAGTATCGCTAATATGCGAGGCAAAAGACCTGTAATTTATTTTTCGCACGTTCTCGTGCCTAGCTGGTTCCCAGTGTGTTGCCATTCGCAAAAACATAATGTCTTTAATTTATCTTTCAAGTTTAATCAGTGTAAACATATTTAACGCATAGTATATTCGTTAATAATTTTTATGGACATTTGCAGTTTTCCTGTATTTACTAAACGATACTTCCAATACCATTTTTGCTGCGTAATTGGCAAAGAATTCTTTGTTTTTTAATTTTATAATGTCTCCAATTTTTAAGTTTTTTTTTTTTTTTTTTTTTTTTTTTTTTTTACTTGTTTAACAATTTTTATGGTAGATTCCAGTGAGGTGCTGAACTCTAATCTAAAATCTTCAGTCTTCAATATTTTCCTTTATTTTATTAGTCCAAAGGGGCGTTATCCCAGAACTACACAGGAGCAATATTGGTAGCAATTAAACAACATAAATTTCATGAGTCATTGACAGAAATTACGTGGAGAATATAATGTGTAGCATAGAAAATAAAAGTTATATGTTTGTTTAAATAGTTAATTGGTCATTTAAGAGAAAAACGAATTCGGCTCATTAACAGTACTTAATTTATTTAATAAATAATATTTAATTAAACATATTTTATTAATATTATTATGTGAAATTTTAATTTTATTATGTGTAACCACGCAGTCACGTCTGTCTGAAATTGACATAAAATATCAATTATGTTTAGACATTTTTCGTTATACCTAATAATCGCTCAATAACTAAGGCTCCCAGCGGCCGAGCAGTAAAGTCGCTGAACACTGGTAGTTCGGTCCGGTGTTCGAATCCCAGCGAACGGGCTGTCCGTGGATGTTTTCGTTGTTTTTTCCGTGCGTAACGTGTATACGAACCAGTTCCCCTTAGAAAGTCCTCCACAAAGGCATCCCTCGCTTTAGGCAGATATCACTCGAGTGCTTTGCCATAACTAAATAAACCAAACAGCTCAATAACTAGTGTACAGATGTCATCTTTATCAAATATTCAACAGCGATGAAACTGTAATGTGTATCTTTACTGTTTACTTCGATGCCTATAGTATGCATTTTGTTATTAACTGCAATTTAACTTTTCAATTTCAATCTAGACTCATTCGATGCAGCCTGTCTTGAAAGTCATGCAAGCGGAAATTCAGATATTTGGGATACTGTTTCAAATTGAAAGTAATAGAGCTTAAATTGCCCACCGGAGCCCTAAATAAAAGTGCTGCGGCACTTCTTTTATGTAAATTAAATTCAGTTTCAGCGAGCAAATTTATTTAAAAAATAAATATGCTTTGAAAATCGATTATAACTTCCGAATGCATACCTATCTTTCTCTGAGAAAAAAATGGACGGAAGTGTTAAGACTTATAACGAAAGAAAATTCCCCCTCCGCATATCAAAGGTTTGTTCTCCAGGTAGTGCAAGGAATTTATAAGTTTGGGTAAAATGTTTTGTTCCCGAAAGTACTAAAAAGGATTACCTTAATCGTGCACGTCCACCACTACTGACCTTTCTCTGCAAACCTCCTGAAGACTTGAACTGTAACCAAATATGGGGAACAAAATTGTCACTTGCGCAGACCTTACATTTGTTCTCATGTTGTTAATGGATTGGATTCCGGGAAAGCTTTTGTCCAATCGCAATCTGCTTGACATCTAGAATTATATGGGCAGGGCATCGCGGTCAGAAAGCTTAAAACTCTTATCTCTTTGCTTTCGAAGCTACGCTTTTCCATTAAAATTTCTTTTCTTACTCTCATGTTGCTTCTAGTGAGAATAGCATTCTCTCTACGCTCAATAGTGAAGCTTTAATTGTTTTATGTTTTCCCACTTATGTTCTGGAAAAAAAGTGGTTTTTGTTTCTCTCGTCTCTTGTAATAGTACGTTATACGTATATTCAGGGCTTGAATTCAGCCGTTGACCGGCTAACCTATTACTTAGTTTTCTGAATGAAATTTAAGTCCAGCCCTAGCTCCAGATAAGATGAGGCCCGACAGTTTATTTCTTTTATTTAACTATTTATCATGCATTTAATAATTTATTAAATTTTTATTTATACAGTTATATTTTATTGAATTTTAATTTTAGTTGAATTATTTGAATTATTAGTCATTTTATTTTTATTAGTTATTTTATTTAATTAATTTTCCCTTTTACCTGACGGCCTTCCATAGAGCTCTTCTGATTTTAAAAATTAAGCCTTGGAAAGTAATAATCATCACTGAAAGTAATAATAATCATCAAGTGAAAATCATCAAGTAATAGTGAAAGTAATAGTCATCAGTCGCAGCAATTTTATTTGTTGAACGTAAAATGTTATGATAAAATTTTCATTTACGAAATTCTTTTCAATGTTTCTAAAGCAATCAGTTACCTCAAATTAATAAAATTTTAGGGGTATTTATTTTGTTTTGAGAGGGTTTTATTTTGCTGAAGGCAGAAAAGTTTCAATAGTTGCATGTTTTTAAGTCGGTGAAATATTTCAAGATGCATTTTTGTATCTCTCCACATGTTACATGCTTTTTATAATTAAGATTTTATTGTTACACAGACTCTAAAAAAAGGCGGATCACATTTTGATAAATAATGGTCAACTTTCCAAAAAACACTAATTCTAACAATTTCTTTATTGCTCAAAATTAAGCTGAAGCAATTGACTCTTTTATTAACTTCTTTTTATACTTTTCATATATTTTAATTTGATCTGCAAATGATCATTAAATGCTTTCAAACGCTATTTCATTGATTTTAAACGCTATTTAAGCATTTTACATATTAAGCATTTTATTTGCAAGAAATTATACTTTTTTTACTTTGCAAATCAGGGGAAAGAACTCAGTTGGCGGCGGACGTAACGAAATATCAATCATCAAACTAAAAAGAAAAAAATTAAAAGCTTCCATGGAATGCACGCGCGACCAGTTGCTGAAAAAGATAACTGTCCCCCTCCCCGCTTTCCACTATTGGCTGACGCTCGCGACTCAATCTACCACATCCCCAGGCAGGAGGACCTTCCTGACCTTGGCGGGTCTGTTCCTTATCTATCTAACTGGCGCCACTGTGTTGGCCTCCTGCCAAATGTAGTCCCACCCTCTCGCTCTACAAGCTATAATAATCGAGGTCGAGCCTCCGGATATTCATATTCGCTCTAAACTGTTTCTTTGAGTGGAAAGTAGCTCTTGCGTTGCTGTCAACATTTTAAGTTCTATAGCCTTAGTATTGTGCTTGAAGTGCCGGTCTTTGGTTCGAAATGGCGTTCATGATGCCTGTTGTCAAAAATGACTACAAAATCTATCCTACTTGTCCCAGCCGTAGTGGACTGAGCACTCCACAAACCAGAGGATCCAGCTTGTCCAGTTCTCCTGGAGCTGCCTCAGCGTCATTCATGAGTTCACCAAGAAGTTCCCAAACTCCAGCTTTTCCCAACACTCCAAAATCCGGCTCAGAGACGTCGCTGCATAAATTCCACAGCAAACTTCTGGACAAACTGAGAAAGACCTTTCGTGGTAAAGATGATGATGCCAACCAGAGCTCCAGTTCAACGGTCATTATACGATGATTCCTGTTGCATATTCTGCAGCTACTTACTCTCTTACCTTTCTCTCTCGATGGCATCCAGTTGCTCAATGAAAGTGCTGAGCTCTCTGGGAGTAAAGCGATGCTGACCGGTGCCAAGCCCGTGATGAGACGACCAGCAAAATAAAAAGTGAACGGCTGCTGAGCCCCCGGATCTGAAGGAGCCGATGCCATCTGCTGTCAAACCTCTAGTCCTGAAAAGAACTGTCATCTGTGATGTAGTGCCTTCAAATAACCGAGATCTGTATATCTGATGGACCTTGAACATCGTGCCATTGGACTGTAATCTATTTTGTGAAGATGCGAACTGGACTGTAATGATCTGATTGATGACTGAGGATATCTTTGACTGTAAGCTGCAAGATGAATTACCTAAAACGCATTTATAACCGTATAAAGACTCCTAAATCTAAAATATAAATTATTCACGTTTAATTGTTAATGCCAAAACTTAATGCAAATTATTTGATTAATAGTTTTATTTTTATAAGAGTTAATTTATTTGGCTAAAGTCATATTTGTGTTAATAATAAATTATTGAATTTTATATAAAATTTGTGTGTTTATTAGAACAGCTGCATCTGTTTTTAACTTTACTAGTTTGCAAGTTAATGAATTTAGTACGGTCCTGCTTGGAAATGGTAAGTTCATGAATTTTGTTTAATGCAACATTCTGCTTTGAGATAGTGTTATTTTTCATGCGTAAATTAGTAGCTGTGTGATACTAGTGTAACGTACATTAGGTGAATCTTAAGAAACATATAAATTTGAAGAAAATGTTGACGTTTAATAAGTCAAGAAACATAAAATTCTAAAGATACTGAATTCAAACTTAAGTTACAATTATAGAAAAGTGTTAGAAAAAGTAAGTGGGGACAAAAGTTTTGATAAGTGTGCATAATTATGCACTTTCATTCGTTTTTACATGCTGAATTTTGTTAAGCCATAAAAAATCTACTGAATGGATGAAAAATTCATGCTTCTAAAATAACGCACAGCCAATAAATAATTTTCTGGCAGTAGGTGTATGATTTGCAAGCCAATATCATAACAAGTGAAAATCTTAACCACAGTAGTATCAGTAGTTTTGTACTTAAAAAATTTATACTGTAATTAAAATTTTAATTACATGTTAAACATATGTATGCAGTTTGTAATGAAATATATATTTCTACTAATAGTAATTGCACTGATAGAATTCATTGAAAAAGTCTGTTCTATACACATGTGCGAAGTATTAACAGATCTACTATTTAAAACTTCAACCAGATCATGTATTTATGTGAATACCTATGAAACAATTGCATTGTTTAAATCAATGTATAATCGAAAACAACACATAAAACGAATTGCAGTGAAATGCATATTTCTACTAATATACTATTTGCACTAATAGAATTCATTGAAAAATTCTGTTGTCATATGTGCAGGCTCCTACGATTTGCATACTCTACTAGCACATGTATTTATTTATGTGTAACTACCATCCAGTATATAATACGCATGAAAAAAATTATTGTTTTGTTTAAAATAATGTAATGAAAAACACGTAACACATAAAACCAAATGTGTAAGGGACTACTAGAAAATAATTGATCCTTTCAAATAAATAGCATCATCGTAATAGATTGGAATGTTTATTTATCGAGACTATGAATACTTAATATAAATAAATTCTTAACAGTATTTCAAGTTTTCCGCTTGTAACTCACATATTCCAGTTACTTACTTAGAAGCCTGCTTTTTAAAATATTTCGAGGGAACAATAATACATAGCCCTTTATTACGAAGTGTAAATCGGTAGTTTTAGTTTACTTATTGATTCTTGGAAATCGCAGATCTTTTTTTTTTTTAAAAAGTTAATAATTACTTCATGGCATACTAGATTTTAGATTTATGACGATGCAGTGGAAATGAATTAATAGTAGAAGACCGTATGAGAGGTAGGTGACGTTGCTTCCCAATGAAATCTGAAAAAAAAAAAAAAAAAAAAAATATGTATTAGCCCAAAGGGGCAATTTGCGCAGAAGGGCTATTAATTTCGTTTTGGCATTTTGCGGTGGTTCACTATAGACGGCGTTTGACTTTTCAGATTGTTGCCACCAAATATTAGAGCCTTGCATTATGTTTAAAGAAAGTAATAAATGCATGAATGTTTCTCTCACTGTAAAAAAAACAACGGTACCTAGAAACATCAAATTTTGAATAGCATAGTCCTTCAGTCGAATATGGGCATCTGGAAGCCCAAATTTGAAATTTGTTTTATTATCTATTTCATATTTTGTAAACCTTTAACGAATTTTTGATTAACAAACTCGACGATTTCAATGTGAACAATGGCAACACTGTACGAAAAAAAAATCCATCAGTACGCGAGACTGTATATCGAAAATTCTAAAGATATGCTCTTTTTAAATTATTTTGTGATATTGTTATTGAATCGAATTTTACGGTTTAAGTACGAAGAAATGATATTTAATAAATAAAGGTTACACACGAAAAGTTTAAAAAAAAAAAAAAAATAAATAAAATAAAAATAAAAAACGCTCCTTTGGGCGTAATATAAAATCGAAAGCTTCCAGATTTTTTTGTATTTATTTATTCCGAAACAATAGTAGTTTTCTGTCAACTAGAAGTTAAGGGAATACAAGATTAAAAAATATATAAACACATCTATAAACTTGTAATTGTGACTGAATTCAGCGAGTAAATAGATTAGATTAAAAAGAAAGTTAAGATAACGAACTGAATGGAAAGCTGTCAACAAACGCGACGAAGGCACGTTGACCTGAACGAAATAGAGCACTGCACTTCTGTTTGTTTTCATATGCTTATGTAACCACTACAAACTTTCTGTTAGCAAACAGCTATCCGTAAAATGCTTTGATGCATTCATTATATAGTTTTTAAAAAACTTCAAACTTTGTCATAAAAAGTGAGGCTTAGCTCTTGTATAGAACACAAGCAAGTTCTGTTTTTTTGATTTTGGTTTTAAAAACTTTTGGAGGAATTATTATTATTACTATTATTTTCGTGCAATACATTTTAATCGAATATGATTCAAAAGGCGTCTTTTTTTCTAAGATGACCATTTAAATATAAATTTTGGAAATTATTCTTGTCCGAGGATAAATTCGCAAAACTTGCATCAATAACAAAAATACCGCTTTTGCTGCACATTTTTCGGTGTAATTTTGAAAACATAACCATATACCGATTTATTATTTTTTCTCGTAAACTTAAAAGTTTCGTATTGTATATTTTTTCATAAAAGTATTTTTAAGATAATCACCTAAGATTCGAATAAAAATAAGCAAATTTTTCATAAATAAAAATTTTAAAAAGTAAAATTTGAAAGTTTTCAGATTTTATATTACGCCCAAAAGCTTTTTTTTTTTTTTTTTTTTTTTTTTTCATTTACTGACACATACACGTTTTGAGAGCATTTAGGCTAACGCCACATTGGAGTAAAAACATTTTAAAAAAAACAGCATACCATTTAAATTTTGGATGAACATTTCCCCCGCGCTGTAGATAAAAATGTTTTATTCTTTACAGTGTTGCCACTCTTGTCTTTGAAACTGTTGAGTTTTTAAATCAAAAATTCGTTAAACATTTACAAAATATGAATTAGATAACAAAAAAAAAAAAATTCCAAATTCCGAATTTGGTTCCCAGGTGCCCATGTTTGGGTTGAGGACTACTTTATTCAAAATTTGATGACTCTTTCTTCATTATTTAATTTCTTTAAATATGATACAGAGCGATGATATTTGGTGGCAACAATTTGAAAAGTTATACAACGCTTTTAGTGATTCAAAGCAAATTGCTGTTTCGAGACTAATAGCCCTCCTGGGCTGACGCCCCTTTGGGCTAATAAATTTTTTTTTTAAAGTTTTTTTTTTTTTCAAGCATAACTGAAAAAACATTTTCACCAAGTAAAAAATTTTTACAATAGTGGCAAATAAATTTTACGTATGTATTGATTTTATTTTAATCAATGCAAGTTTTTCAAAGAAGTTTCTGTGGTTTAGTGGTAATTTCAAAAAATGTCAACAAAACGTTTTGCAAGAATTATCGTTTGAGAACTAACTACAAGCACAACATCAATATTTCAGGCAATTGTTTCCGCCGTTTTAAATTTTTGAACATTCGCAGGTTCATATGAAACCTCAAATTCCTTTCTAGAATGTAAGGAATAGTTGTACCGAAGAAGCGAAATTTACAAATATTGTATCTGACAGTTGTATGAGCTTTAATATTTTTTTTATCTTTTAAATAGTTCTCTTCCGTAATCTCTAATTGTGGGCTTCTGCATTCATACTAGAAGGCTATGGCAAATTACTGATGCTTTTTTATGATCTCAGAAATACTAGTCATATACACGGAGCGGTCGCCTAGAGAGAGTTTATTGTATTGCATTTAGATTACTAAGGGCTATTTTTATAATTTCGTGTTTGAAAGAATGGTGGAAGGTAAATAAAAAATCCGAGGTGTGAAAGAGTCCGCACACTTCTAGATTAGATAATAAGAAATAGAGTGAATACTTTGGAGGTGTCAGTCTCCTTAAAATAACCGGTATGTCGGAGAACATAAACATCGGTATTGAGCATCTCCTCTCTAAGACGACCAAAATTACTTTGAACCACGGATCGTCGTAGTATAAAATGTAAATTGTAAATACTAACAAATTAAATACGATTTGTTTCAGTATATAAAGCGGTGTTGGTGGATGAGGGACTAATCTCAGAGTAAAAAATGAGACAAATCGAAAATTTAAATTGTAATTTAACATGATGCGGCGCAGATGTCAACATAAATGAATAGACAAGTATAAAGCAAACATCATTTCATAATGCAAAGTAAACATTTTACAGACTGCAATTCTAGTTAGCATATAGCCATATAAAAAATATCTCTTAGTTAGTTCGAGTTGCCAAATGCAGACACAAATCATAAAATATGGAAGAGAGAATATTAACA